TTTTTGGCCAGTGAGCAAACTGAGATGGAAAGAAGTTAAGTGACTCATCCAGGATCCACAGCTCATAAATTAGGGAGCTGGGCTCAGAAGTCAGGAAAGCTGACTCTAGAATCTGTGCTTAACTGGTCCTCCCTATCACCTCACAAGCTATACTATTTGTGGCTGCATAGCCACACCTACTTAGGAATCAAATTAGGCCCTAGATTCTCCAAGAACAATTCTACTCTCTATCCAGAATTCTAAGACTGGAGTGAATTGATTGCTTCTTGCAACCTGGCGCATTACTGATTCCAGCATGCACTGGGCTCTCTATATGAGTAGGCCGCTGCTAATTACCTATGATAATGAGGGATGGATAGGCACTGAAGATTCAGCATAGCTGAACACCAAACCCCCTCCCCCAAAAAAACAAAAAGAAAGCACTTGGCCTTTGGGTATAATATTGTATCACATTTGTAGTAGATTTGCTTTCTTAATTATGTTTTGATAGGATTGCTATTAAAGTCAGTTTCTATTCTCTACACACCCCCAAAACAGAGAGGGACTATGACCGGTGGAAATGTCTTGCATGATATGCCTCTGTGGAAAATGAGAGTGGATTGCAAAAGCTCTTCTCCACCCTGTTCTTTTCATCCTGCATAGGTCTTGGTCTATGTCTTACTGATTTCCCATGTTAATTATTTTAACCTTGTCCTCAGTAGCCTCCTTTGTCTCTCATTGCCATAGAAACCCATTCTGCCTTAAGAATGTCTTTCTTGCCTATTCCTTTGACCCAGGCCCTCTACTTAAGTCCTTCTTCAGCTGCAAATCACCTGCTGAATTAAATCTAAGCTCCTTGATCTTGGCTTCCAGGACGTTCTATAATTTGCTTCTCTGTTTTTCTCCTTTTACAAATAATACATTCCTGGAGCAGAGGTTAAAGTAGATCACTGTCAACCAAAATATTAACTGTAATAACTAACATATTTACATAGAACTTAAGAATTAAGTAAAAACATATCCACCTACATTACCTCATTTAAGGCTCATACTCTGCTGTATTATATATAATTATTTTACATTTATATAAATATAGATAAAGCAGATAACATGATCAGCATTTTAAGTTCAATAAAACCGGGGCCCAAATAAATTAAATGACTTGCCCTATAAGAATTTATTGGTGCTATGGGTGCTGACGAGTTGGTGGGTGCGGCACACCAACATGGCACAAGTATACATATGTAACAAACCTGCACGTTATGCACATGTACCCTAAAACTTAAAGTATAATAATAATTTAAAAAATTAAAAAAAATTACAGCTACAAAAAAAAAAAGAATTTATTGGTGCTGAAGCTACATCTTTCTTTTTTTTTTTTTTTTT